GTGATAAATGCCAGGAGAACTCTAGTTTTTCTGAAGCAATTCAAATGCTAGTTCTTCATTGTTCAAAGATAATTAGAGGCGGATTAGGGAGCAGTTCTTCCAGAGTGGATTGTTTAGCAGTTTTGTCGACTACCACCAGAGGAAAGTGTAACTCCTTTTCTAGGAATCTAAAAAAATATTGAATATTATTTTAAGAGATGTTAGAGAGATAGAGTTCAGATAAAAAGGTTAGTGTTAATGGTCCCTAGTGGAGGATAAGACCTGTATGCTTAGAGAGCTAGAACTAGGTCTCATCATTTCTAGGATTTACTATTCCAAATTAGAGCTATTTGCTCTCTGATTAGAAATTATTAGGATCACATTTCATTAGCAATGGCCCTAGGAATTCTGAGCAGGTTGCGGGTTGCAGTAAATCCACAAGTAAGCACTGCTCATAAGATTCAAATTTTATTTCACTCATTTAACATTTGAGTTTGCTATGAAAGACACAATATTTTGAGCAAGGCAGGAGTGTGGTCTGAGTTTTTTCCAGTGGGAATAGAAGGTTCTGATTTGTGGCCATTCATGATGGAGGTCATAATTGGTATTCCTATCCTCCAGTGAAACAAAGAAGAAAGAGAATGCTTTGAGGTCTCGGAAACCCAAGTTATTAAAAAATTTATTTTTGTTAATTTGGAAAGCAAAACAAAACTTTTTTTTTCTTTCAGAATTTTTAAAACATGAGAACATAGAACCTACTCAATCTATGGTGGTAAGCAAGAATTCAGAAGGTCTATTTTTCCCTGGAGAGAAACAGCCTGAGGATTCCGAGATCACAGTGTCCTTCAAAGACAAAGAACACTTGGATTTGGGAACCTCTGAGACATTCGTGGACGAGAAAACTAGTTACAGGGAAACAGCTTGGTCCTCACAGGAAACTGAGAAAGAGTACAACACATCAAAAGTCACATCGCCACATTCGGTTGAGACTATTGACTATGAAGTTCCCGAAACTATTGATTATTTACAGGACGGACAGAGATATGAGGAGCCAGATGATTCTTTATATTTAGGAGAAGAGGAATATCTAGAATCGATTGTACACTCTGAAGAGGCAGAAACCACTGTGGAAGAAGAGGATTATAATGACTCCGAGCACCTTGTCTGTGATGGCGAAGAGGACTCTGAGTATGCAGAAACCATGGCGTTCTCTGATGAAGAACCAAGTTATGAGGATTCAGAAACTGGCATGTCATTGGAGGAGGAGGCAGAGAAGGAGAAAAGTATGGAAGGTATGGGAATGCTATGTGATTTTTAGTTAGACGACAACATGTTTTTAGGTTGCCATGACATAATAGGGAGAGAAGATGAGGAAGGGCACCAGAGATCAGCAGAAAAGTTGCTTCTCAGGAATTCCTTGTACCTTTCTAACGTGGAATTTCCTCAAAGGTGGGTGTTGACAGGAAGACCCAGAACCTAGGGAATTCTGGACAGTATAAGCAAAAGTAAATATTGATTGTCAGATTATAGGTTTCTGCAGTCACCTCCATCATACATATAAGAAGTTGCTAGTCACGAATTTTAGGTGTTACTTTCTATTCCTTAGATTAAATCTCTTTACTCGTTTTAGTGTCTTTGTGACCAACTGGTTATGGTGATTATGGGCCTAACTATTGAACTGGACACAGGAGAAGAGTTTGTGGTGAATGGATAAAATCCAAAGTGTTGTTTCTTGGCTCTATCCAGTCCATGTGTTGCCATCTTGGCAAGGGAAGCTATATTAGTATCTTGAATTAGAATATTTCATAATGAAAATTCAAAATATGAGAAATGCTTTATTTGGAGAGATATTGTCTAGGAAAATAAACATCACAAAGTTCTGAGTAGAAAAGGGAAAGATAACTACCATCTCACATTCAGTCCAAACCCGAGGGATTCATAACCCAGTTCTGGGTAGGGAACGAGTAAGTACCTCCTCATCACATCTTGTGCTAGAGCTGCCCTAACAAAGTAGGTACCACCAACTGGGTAGCTTACACCATAAATGACAGGAATGTACTGTCTCACAGTTTGGAGGCTAGAAGTCTGAAATCAAGGTAACTACGGGTTGGTTCCTTCTAAAGGCTGTAAAGAACGTGTTCCTGGCTTTGGTGGTTTGCTGGAAATCTTGGGCATCCTTTGGCTTATGGAAGCATCCCCTCAGTCTGCCTTGATCGTCACATGGTTGCCTCTCGGTGTATGTCTCTATGTCCAAATTTCCCCTTTTCATAAGGGTACCAGGCATATTGGATTGGGGCCCATTCCAATGACCTCATTGTAACTATTAATAATAATGTCTGCAATAACCCTATTTACAAATAACATCACATTGTAAGGTACCTAACTAAGGGTTAGGTTTTCAACATAAGAATTTGAGGGGTACATAATTCAAACCATAACACAATTCTTGCCCCACCCCTATACCTTCCCAATATCTAGTTGCCTTTAGGCCTCATTCTTAAATTTATTTATTTATATATTT